CTCTACCACTTGAGCCACAGCGCCACTTCCGGCTTTTTTCTTTTTGCTTATGTGGTGCTAAGGAATCGAACCCAGGACCTCAGGCATGCAAGGCAAGCGCTCTACCACTGAGCCACCTTCCCAGCCCAGTCTGTGAGGATCTTATCTTCAATTAAATAACAAAAACTCAGAAGTCAATCTGTGACTCAAGTGATAAAGCACTAATTTTGAGTGAAAAATCTAAGGTTGCAGCGCCCAAGGCCCTGGGTTCAAGCACCAATGCTGAAAAAAGAGAAAAAAAGATCAAAAAGATGAAAAATAGAACTCACAAGGTTAGGGAATGGCTCCTATCCTAGTTCCCAGTTTCTCCAGTATCAGCACTTGCTAGTTGAACCTATGCTTTGGAAAGCACATCACTGCCACACACTGGGGCCCCCAGCATTCCCACTGACCTATTCTTACCAAGGATAAAAGGCCCCTTTCCTCCGCAATGCCACCAAGACAAATTAGTGCTATCTAATTTCTAGTTACTGAACAAGTTACTAGCTGTGACATACTTTAAAAGGCTTGGCTGAACCAAAGCTCTCAATGGTTAATTTTTTCCTGCTTCTTCACCGTTCTTAGAGAAAAAATCCATATTTTCTTCCCCTCCTTCAATAAGAAAAGCTGAACCTTTGAAGAAAAGCTCTCATCCAATGACAGAACACTGGCATTGACTTGTGATTTATACACAGGTAGGAGAGCAAACCCCAATTTGGTAGAGAAATGCCTTCACATTCTTTATATTCTCAAGGGGATATTCCAGTGATCTATAGCTGAAAGGTCACAATCAGGTCCCAGGAAGCATAGGCTTTTGGGAATTAAATTAAGCAGGCATCCCATGAAAGTACTCACTCTTTTTGTACAGAATCTTCACCCTCTCCCTCTTACTGGCAATGTTCCCTAAAGCCACCTGCACCTTGACCAGACCATCAGCCACCTGTTAAGGAAATAGAGGTTAATTCCAAGATACATCTCCTGATCCAAGGCTTGGAAGACCTAAAGAACCCTAATTTCTCTAGTCCCTCAAGTCTCTGAGTCCTAGTAATCTAGAATGATATTTTTCTCTTGATTAAAGATGTAGTCACGCTTTCAGGGAATCCTTGATATGAAAGTCATGTACTTCTTGGAGAGTCTAAAGTCCAAATAAGAAGGTAATGAACTAATATAAATTTATGAGGTACCAGTCCCTACTATATATTCTCTAATTCCTAAACCCTGAGTTTGGGCATAGAAATTCAAGTATGTAGGCCTTTATTACCTCATGACTAGCCATGACTGTATCAGCTGCCAGACTGGCTGGCCTATATCTAGGCCCATCCCCTCCACATGAAGTCTAGTGTAGGAGATGGAAAAGTCTATGATGAACTCTAGGATCCCAATGATGTTTCAATCCCTGCATTAGGGAATACAGAAGAGAATCAGATTAGGGGAGAAGTACAGTTAAGAGCATGTAAGTTGAGCCTGAGATGTCTGTTACCCAAATGGAAAAGACCAGTAGACAAATGCATTTTCATAAGTTATATTGGACAGATACCCGTGGGAGGCGAAAAAGCAAAGGCAGCATCCAGGCCCTAAGTTCAAGCCTCAGTATCAACACCAAAATAAATTAATTTACGTCTACATATGAACATTTTAGCATTCAGTCTCTGACCCTCCTAATCTGGGTCTTCTCAGATTTCACCTCTCACTCCTATGAGCCTTCTTATCCACCTGTAAGTGGATCCTCCCATCCACTTAGCCTCCTCTAGGGTCCCATGGACCTCTCCACGCACAATTCACTTAACAATTAATTACACTCCAAGATGGCACTCCATTGTGGGCGTCAGCTTTTAGTGAAACTCTTCATTAGTCTGCTCCTTGAGTGTGTCAGGTCTCCCCACCTAGCCTAAGACGGCAGGGGCGGGGTCTTACAGTTGTCAGAGTCCATCTCAAACAGCCCTGTCTTCAGACCCGCCCCTCGTCCCACAGGAGTGGACTCCGAGGGTCCCATCTGTTCCGAGAAGTCTGGACATTTTAATTTCCAACGCTGTGGGCGTTGGAAATGGAGCGGTGGCATCCATCCCAAAGGCAGGGCTAGTGGTCCCGCTGCCAGAAACAGGCCACGGGACCAGACTGCTCACCTTCCGCGAGCCTCGAGTCCCGTGAGGGCCGTACACCCAGCGTTCCAGCTCCTCCACTCGAGCCTGCAGCCGCTGCACGTCAGTCAGAGCCGCCATCGCTACTGCCACCCGGACCAAGTCACCGAACATCCAGAGGCGGGACTTCCTTCCCAAATAGGAAAACTGACCAATCCAAGTGCACCCGTGGCCTTCCATTACGGAAGTGACGTCACGGCCCAGCCTTCAATACCGGAAGACATTAGGCCAGGCTAGCGAAAGGTGTTAAAAGCGGTCTTGTTACCTAGGCAACGCTCCCTATCCTGGCTCAACCCGAATTGTCAAGAATTTTGTCTTACTTCTACTTCCAAGGTACCAGGGAGTTTTTCTACCCATTATCTGAGATTGCATGTGTAATTAATGAATACAGCCACTACTCCAGGTCCATTCCTGTAGAAAGATCAGTTGGAAACTTCCTGAGACTTAAGATTCAAAGCGGGTGAGTGAAGGACCTACCCAATGCCAGCTAGAACTTTTGAGACAAAATCTGGATTTGAAACCAAGTATGGTCGAAGAGAATATATTCTATTCTTATGCAGCTATTCTCTTGAAGTCTGTATTCTGCCTTTTCCTGAAAGAGATCCTGGCCTGATACAGCCCTCATACCAAATCATTCCTCCCAACTTCCAAGACCCAAATAAAAGGACACACCGGAGAAGGAGGGATAGCTTTATTTTCCAAATGCTACCTGAGGGATGTCTCCTCTACAATGCTTCAACCCAACCCTTCACCTGGCTCTTGAAGAGAAGCAGGGTTGACTCAAATAGGTAAGGTGCCAGAGATGATATTGACACAGGAGAACATGAGAAGATACATGATAGGGTGTACCTGGGGAATTCTTTGGTAGATACTGCTAGACATGGCTAGGGAGGAAGTGCCCTCTTTTTACAATGAGGTAGATGAAACATCAGAAGAAATTGCTTTGGTATGGAGGTAGGGTGCTGTCATCTCCCAGGACTGAGTTCCAGAGTAGGCATCCTGAAAGAACCAAGGTGGAAGGGTTCCTCCTCACCCTCAGAAATGGAGCTGGGATTCTTAGTTCTAAGTAGGAATTCTTAGGACAAGGTGCTAGAAGGAGGTCCTGTAGAGAGTGGGGGTACAGAGCTGGTTGGGCCCTGGGAAGCTGGCACAGGCTGACGGCGGGCAAAGAGGACACCTGGCAAAAAAAAAAAAAGTGAGGAGATAGTAAAAGGCAAACACAAGCATAGGGAGGGATGAAAGAAGGGAACAAACTGTCCTCATTGTTAGAGGTCCTTATGTATAATCTTGCCACAAATCAATGAGGGCAAGCTGTTGAGTTCAGTGAGAAACTCCCTTGCCAAAGTTAATATCCTCCAACAATAAGAAATATTGGCACCATAAGCGGCCCATGACAAGGCAAACTCCTATAGTAACCATGCTACAGAGACCTTTGCCTTGGATCCCATGCCAATGTAACAATCCATGAAGCCCAAGTTATCCATGCAAGTTCACTTATCACTAAACCTCATGCTAGTAGGGAAAGTCTAAAATACCCATGCCAGTCTAAATCCCAACTCCATGCCAGTGTAGAAAGCCTACAGTATCCATACCAGTGTAGACCACCCCATTGATCTCTAGTGCCATGTTGATACTGCTGATGCCACTGCCTGCCAGATTGAGGGGTCCATCCAGGCGCTCTTCTGTCCGGGATAGAGTAGAGGAGTCACATTTTGGGGAATGAGACTTCAGCTTAGAATCCCCTCCCCCATTCCTACAGATAGTTCTTGGCTCTGTTTTGTCCTATGCTTATACTTACATAGTTGTCTATTGAAGGATTTATCAGTTCTACCTCCACTGTGTGATGGGACACAAGCTCAAAGACCCTCACTAGCAAGCCCCTCCTCACCCCTCAGAGGAATTTTGCCACGGGGCAGGAAACTGGGGGGTGCACCAAGTCGAGATGGGTCATTGGGGCCCATCAGCACAGCCCTCTTCTCTGGAGGCTCTTCTGGTGCCAACTTCTCTCGTGCAGACCCCAAAGCCAGACCCACAGGTAATGTCAGACGAGGGGTTGGAATTCCACTTTCCTCTGAAAGAAGAAACATCATTCAGTTCCTTTGGCCCCACCCAACTTGTCTTTGTATTTGATTCTCCCCAATGTCTGGGACCAGAAGCGGTCACTTGAATTTCACACACAAAGTTCAGTCTCTCTTCCTACCTACAGCCTCAGTCTAGAGGCTCTGAAAGTGTAGAGCCAACACACCAATTTGGTGCGTTATGTGAATAGGTGTGAAACGAGCTATGTTCCTGAGCTTCAGCCCCAGCACAGAGGTAAGCTAGCACTCTGGAGGCTTTACTGATCCCCAACCCTCAGGATCTTTCTATTTTAGCAATCTCCAAGCCTCAGAACTCCATTAGATTTTGTCGCTTCCTTGCCACAAAGCCTGTGAACCTTAGAATTCCTGTATTGTTTCTTGCACCTCAGTGCTTGTATAGAACTGAGACAACCTCCACCACCCATCCCAAGTTCTGCACCCTTTCTCTCGCACCTTTCTTAATGGGGCTTAGCTGGGCGCAAGCGTGCGCTGGCAGGCCAGAGGCGGAACTCTGGGCAGGGCCGGGAGCGAGCTGGGGCGGGGGCGGGGCGGGGCCAGGACCTGGACCTAGGGCGGGACCCTGAGCGCCACGAGGGCCTGGTCCCGGCCCCGTTACACTGAAGAGCGGGACCGCAGTGTAAGCCTGGCGACGTCCTTCTCGCCGATTGCTGTCTATGGCGGCTTGGAGCTCGCCCGGGGAGCTGAGAGCCCGTGTCTCGCACTCGTATGGGTACAGGTACTTCATGTACCTAGGGGTGGACATGGAGAGAAAGGCTGGGCCCAGCCAATCAAGTCCCACCCACCCACCCTATCCTTCATGCTTTCTTCCACCCTCAGCCCCCGATTGCCCTTGGCTTCTGCCTGTGCTCCTGGCCTCACTGAGTGCGTAAGGTAAATGCTGCCGAGGTGATGGTGGTGGGTAAACTGAGGCCGCGAGTGACCTCTCGCCACACTTTTCGGTTGATGACTTCCACCAGGCCGCCTTTGGCCGTCACCAGGCGAAACAATGCGTACAGGTCCAGCACCTGCTTTGCCATGATGGGTACGCGGTTTACTGGTGTCCCTGTTGTGGAATAGGTAAAGCGTCAGGTGACTAAGACAAAGTCCTATCTGTGGTCTTCCCTGGGGGCCTGAAGGAGTTGGATTTCTGCGAGGCGTGGCCTGGGATTTGGGGACGGTTCCTGAGAAGGAAAGGAAGGATAGAAGGATGACAGAGCCCTGATGCCTTTCTTGTTACAAGAACAGGGGGCTAAGAACAGGGGTCAGCAAACTTGTCCTGGAAAGTCAGATGATTAATATTAGGGCTATGTGGTTTAAGTGGTATCTGTCACAATTACCCAATTTTGCAATTTCAACCCGAGAGCAACCTTAGAAAATTCTTAAGGAAGTGGGTATGCCTGTGTTCCAATAAAACTTTATTTACAGGTCGTGGATTCCAAATTTCACAGTGTAGCAATGCTATTCCTCTCCTAATTGTATTTTCTAAATACATTAAAACATAGGTGGCAGCTGTATTTAGCCTGAAAGCTTTAGTTCGCTAACCTGAGGTAGATTATAGGAAGGACTTGTGGATAGTACCAAAGAGCTGGACTTCTCTGAAAACTCTCAGTTACTGCTTAAGGCCAGGGGATGGCGGGCAAAGAATCGGCTCCTGCCTGGACCAGCCAACTCCGCAGCCTGCGCCGCCCCCGCCATCCAGATCTGACAAAGGGCCCTGTCTGCGCTGAGCGATGGGCCCCAGTTAATTCTTTACCGATCCCGTCCCCTTCCACCGTCGCCTTTGGACCCGAACAATTAGCTGCGGCCTGATTAATGGGGGGAAATTATCGGCCCCGTGGGAGCCCCCCCTCTTCCGCAGCGGAGCGGAGGGAGGAAGAAAAGCCGAGCTTCGGGGGTGTGGGCAGTGTTGGGATCTTCTCAAAACGCCTTACCGTTCTCAGTGGAGAAGAGGCTCTGAGGGAGGGGCAGAGAGGGGACACCAGGACAGGAATGACCAGGACTCCCAGGGGAGAAAGCAAATCTGGGGCCCCACCAAGGGTCTCTGGGAAGGAAGGGACTGGCAAGAGATGCAGGGCCTAGGGTGGGGTCTGGAGGGACCTGGTGTTGGGCTAGCAGCTGCACTAAGGGGAGGGTGCAGTGCAGCCAGTTAATTAGCAGCTTATCAGGCTGCACTCTGAGTGAGTTAATTAGCTTTGTAGAGAGAGATAATGAGTCAGTGTTCAGTCCCATGAATCTGGGGAGAAGCGGAAGTGATGGACTGCTGCCTACCCCAATCCCCTCCTGGAACCTTCTTGCATTCTTCCAGCACTGAGATACCTGGAAAGAAATTCCTTCTCCACTGCCCACCAAGTGTGGTTTCTAGTCCCTGCTATCTCCCTTCAATCCAATCCCAGTCCTTCCTCCTACAGGGCACATGGGGCATCCCTTGGCTTAAAGTAAGGGGAAATTAAGAAGAGACAAGGCTAGGTAAAGAGCCCACCATAGAGAAAGAACCAAGGCATTCCCAGCCCTCCAGCCCTGGGACTCCTTTACCCCAAGACAGCTCCCTACCAGTTCCCCTTCCCACCCTCCCAATTGATCCCACACTCATTAACCTGCCAGTGGGCCGGCCACTAATTAATCCTGGGGTGGGGAAGGGGGGGCAGGGTCAGAGGTTAAAGATGTTATTGAAGGCCCAAAGGACAGGTGCTGCCAACCTCAGCACTGTGCAGGAGGACCACACCTGGGGCTACACCCCGGAATAATCTTCCTTTCTAAAATCTGGAAAGGGAGCAGGCCAGGGCTCCTTCCCCCATTACCTCACTCACCTCTCTTCTGCATGAAAGTAAACAGATCATCCAGAAATTCCTTCCTCTTGGGATCTGCATCAAGCTCATACAGCTGAGGAAGGAGCAGAGTCATTCTTAGTTCTACTGAATCTCTCCCCCTGAAACCCAAATTCAGGTTTTACCCTGAATAAGAAGGAGGCTCTAGCTGAAGGTGTGAGTAGAGTCTGGATGTGAATTTCTCAATATCAGGCCTGATTCCTCCCCACCCCCCCAGAAGTAGATAGTGGCTTTTTTCTAGTATTAAGGTTGAACTCAGAGCCTCACACTTCCATTCAGCTTCCTTGCTCATATATGGCTCTCTACCACTTGAGCCACACCCTTAGTCTGGCATTTTGCTGGTTAATATTTTTGGAGATGGAGTCTTGCAGACTTTTTTGTTTGTTGGTTGTGGGGCCTGACCTCTGGGCCACTTCCCGCTTTTTCTGCTTATGTGGTGCTGAGGAATGGAACCCAGGGTCTCTTGCATACAAGGCAAGAACTCTACCACTGAGCCACTTTCCCAGCCCAGTCTTGCAGACTTTTATGCCCAGGCTGGCTTCAAGCCAAAATCTGAGCCCAGTATCAGTGCTGATACTACCCCCATCCCCCAGTACTGGAATTGAATTTAGGACCTCACATTTCCTAGGCTGCTCTACCACCTGAGCCAAGAATCCAGCCCTGTTTCTTTCTGGTTATTTTAGAGATGGAGTCTAGTAAACTTTTCTGTCTGAATTGGCCTAAAACCAAGATCCTCCAGATCTCAGACTCTTGAGTAGCAAGAATTACAGGCATGGGCCACTGGCACCATGCTAGTGGTGCTTTTTTCTACTACTTAGAAACTAAGCCTGGATAGTATACCCTGGACAGCTCAAATGTGCATCTGACAAATAGGAGATTAGAAAGTAGGAAAGAGCTATGACTGCTCAGTCACTCTCCAAGATAGAGTTGTTGTTGTTGTTTTTCCTGCCCTAAGGCCTAAGAAGGAAACCAAGCTGGGACTCTGCTCTATAATACAGAGGCTGCGTACCTGAGGCCCTTAAATAAGTTTCCATTCATCTATTCAAGGGACTTATGCATATGTGTATGAGAGAGAGAAGGGAGGGGAGAGTGCACTAAGGGTGAGTAAGGAGTAGGAATGATGCTCAAGAGCTCCTGATTCGCTGTAGCTCAAGTGGTAGAGCGCTCGCCTTGAGCTGAAGAGCTGAGGGACAGCGCCCAGGCCCAGAGTTCAAGCCCCACGACCGACAAAAAAAAGAAAGAAATATTTTTAGCCGGGCGCTGGTGGCTCACGCCTGTAATCCTAGCTACTCAGGAGACTGAGATCTGAGGATCGCGGTTCAAAGCCAGCCCGGGCAGGAGAGACCGTGAGACTCCTATCTTCAATAAACCACCAGAAAACCGGAAGTGGCGCTGTAGCTCAAGTGGTAGAGCGCTCGCCTTGAGCTGAAGAGCTGAGGGACAGCGCCCAGGCCCAGATTTCAAGCCCCATGACCGACAAAAAAACAAAAACAAAAACAAAAAAAAAAAAGAGCTCCTGATTGACACCTTCTGGTCAGATCCCCTTCTACAGGCAGATACCCTGCCTACTACAGAAGAGTTATTCATGACCTGAGAAGTCAGGGCATGAGGGACCTGTCTGTTATCCTACCACTTCTCAGTCACCTGCAGTCCCACCTCTAGTATCACCTCTCAAGTCTAAGATGAACAATTCCCACAGTAATGGAGTCACTCAATCAGAATAACATCCCCTGAGTTATACTATAGGAACAATTCTCTTTCATTCAAAGTAAGAGAAGCAAATCCCAGAGACCTAGTTTTAGAGTCACACACCTATCAAACTCCTGTCTTAGTTGGATATCTACAAATAATACATTCTCCCCCAGGGGAAACAGTCACTAGAGCTGTTATCTCCAGATACTAGGCCTGAGTATGTGCTAGTCTTATAACAATGTCACAGAACACTATGCACAGATTGATACCTCTGGAAAATATCTAAGGCCAATACCCTATGAGTAATACACCAGAATAGCACATATGGAGTAACAGCCCTAAGTAACACCTTCATGGTGTTCCATAGGAAGAAAGACCTTTACATTAAGGCCATATGAGTAAAGTCTTAGAATTCCTACTTGTACAAGGGCTTGCCAGGTATACTGCAGCTGTAGTGGCCAACACAGGCTAAAAACTGTCACTTATAGAACTTAGGAAGAACATTTTGGATGGTGGAGCAGTGACAAGAGGTTTAGCAGCCTGCAAAGGGAGTGGCAATTTCTAACCTGCTTCCAAAGACAGAGATAGACAGTCCCATTGGTCCTTGTGATTTGATGTATAAGAAGGTAAATTGGGTAGTACTGGCACTAAAATCTCCAGACCCTAGACTCCCCACCAATGCCTCTAATTTGTCAGTCCTTGTATTTCTGGCCATCCTCTGTACCTTTCCATATATTAGAGTGTCTCTCCTCTTTATGTCTTCTTTAGTCTTATCTCTGTCTGTCTGCCTGCCTGTCTGTCTATTTCTCTCTCTCTGTGTGTGTGTGTGTGTGTGTGTGTGTGTATGTGTGTGTGTGTCTTTGCATCCTGCAGAGGGTGGTAGGGATGGGTGGACTACTGATCACCTGGCTCTGCCTTGCTCAGAGGGGAAGAAGGGAGGAAGGCCTTAACAGTGAGGGGGTCCTACCTGCTTAAATTGTTCCTCGTAGGTCCACTCATGGGGATGGGGTCCAGAGGGCTGGCTGGAAGGTGAGCTGGGGCCATGGACCCCCGGATGACTCTCCTCAGCTGCCTCCTCTTCTGCTCTGGCTTCCTCCCCTTCCTCATCCTCTTCAGCATCTTCCTCCTCCTCAGCCCCAACCTCCTCCAAAGCCCCCTCAGGAGCTTGCATGGTCCGAGGACCAGGTAAGGGAGGCTGTGGAAGCTGGAGGCGAGGAGGGGCCAATGGCCCCAACCCTTGGGCCAGCCGAGCTGCCTGCTGTCTCTGCAGGGTCTCCATGACAGCTTCCAGGCGCAGTCCCCCTACTGAGGGGGGGCCTGGTACCAGACGGGGTCCAGAGGAAAGGGCCGCCTGTGAGCAGGAAATTATGGGTGGTGAGCCTTACTGCCCCAACACACTCTCAACACAAGGGGAGATGATTGTGGATCCAGACATGTATAGATAGCACTCTGTACATAAGGAAAGGGCAGAAAGCTTTCCCAGAAATGGACAGACATGGGTGGGGGAGAGAGGAAGAAGAAAAAGCTAGCTAGCTAGCTAAGACATATATAGAGAATAGATAGATGCCACAGAGAGACACAATAAGGGAGATATAAAAATTGAGATGGAGATAGGATGAAGAGCTACCAAGGTGAAGAGAGATGGGAGAGACAGATAAATGTAAGGATAGAGTGTGAAGGGGGAAAAATTGCTTGATAGAGAGGCAGGAAGGGTTAGAGAGAGAAGCAAGAGATAAAAGACCTAAGTGGCAGCAGTGCGGAGAGAAGGCAGAGACAAGAGGCGGAAAGAGTCTAATTGTAAGACGTGAGAGACAGGGAAAGACTGACACCGCCGGAGAGAGATAGAAAAGAGATGAGAAAGAGAAAGGGGGAGGGGGGAGAGAAGGGCAGGGGAAAACGGAGTGATGGGACAGAGAGGAAGAGGACAAGAAATCGAGCCACGGGAATAGAGGACGACGGAGCCGAGCCTGGACCAGGGAAGGGACTGGACGGTCTGGAGGCGTCTCCGTTCTTTGGTTCCCAGAGCCCAGCAGTCGCACTCACCTGCCTGGCCTGGCCCGCTGTCCCTGGCGTCTCCACCGCGGCCCCTCTGCTCCGCCCGCCTCCCGGGCGGCCCCTGCCTCGGCTTGGTTCCCGGCTCCCTGTCACCCGCCGTGCGCTCCCGCAGCCGTGCGCTCCCGCAGCCTGGCGCTCTTCGGCCCGTCGTTGCGCTCTGCGCTCGCTCACTCGGCTGCTGCTCTGCTGGCTGCGGTCGCGGGGGGCGGGACCCGCTGGGCAGGGCGGGCGGGAGCGCAGGGGGAAAAGCCCCCCCCCCCGGGGCTCTGCCCCTCCGTCTCCCAACAGGTGTCTACCACCTTCCTTACAGCCAGATCGGGGGAGGGGGCGCTGGAGAGCTATGGGGAATTGGGCAAGTCTAATTCCCCAAGTCCACCGCAGCTGGATTCTGGTCCGCCGGTCCCACCCAGTCTCACACGTCGTTTAAACCCCCCCCCCAATAGCTGCATTCACATACCAATGCATCTTGTCCCAAGTTCAGGTACACAGCTTCCTTCTGTCACTGTCACTAAAGCTCTAGAGTGCCAAAGAGCCGGGCAGGTTGAGATTTGGGGAATTGCTCTGCAGGATGTTGGGATGTATGTGGAGCATCTGGTTAAAACACAAGCCTCTCCTCTGTTCTGGCCACTTGCAGTATTCAGCTTCAAGTGTGCTGTAGTTTGCACATAGTGGTGGGCTCATACCTGGGCACCCACACATCCAGACATCTACATCTCTGAGCCAACACCATACCTGAAGTACACCCTGTGGCACACACACACACACAGGGAATGCTGCACAGGGTTTTATCTTTTTCCAAAATCTCTTTTTGACATGATATTCTGGCACAGGAGAACAAAGAGTATAATGAACCTCAGGTACTCATCACCTGTTTCACGTTTAGAGATGACCATCTTCACAACATGTTCTCTACCCATGGCTCCCCTCATGCTGTTTTGTTTTTTTGGTTGGTCATGGGGCTTGAACTCTGGGCCTTGGTGCTGTCTCTCAGCTCTTCAGTTCAAGGCTAGCGCTCTACCACTTGAGCCACAGTGCCACTTCCGGTTTTCTGAGTGGTTTATTGGAGATAAGAGTCTCCAGCCTTTCCTACCCCAGCTGGCTTTGAACCTCAATCCTCAGATCTCAGCCTCCTGAGTAACTAGGATTACAGACGTGAGCCACCACACCTGGCGGCTCCCTAATTTTTAAATCTCAGTGGTAGAGCGCTTGCCTTGCATTCATGAGGCCCTGGGTTCCATTCCTCAGCATCACATAAGCAGAAAAAGCTGGAAGTGGTGCTGTGGTTCAAGTGGTAGAGCACTAGCCTTGAGCTGAAGAGCTGAGGGACAGTGCCCCGGCCTAGAGTTCAGGCCCCAAGACTGACAAAAAACAAAAACAAACAAAAAAAACCCCCTCTGTATCCCACTACAGAGCATGCACAAAGCTTTTCTACTGTAGCACATCATACCCATAGTTATATGGGTATGATATATAGTTTATATCTGCATTTCTAAATACCTTGGCTAGATATATTAATCAATTAAATCAAATCAACACACACACACACAAAATCTCTCTCTAGATGCCCACCCCCACCCCCTCACCCCTGCAGCCAACTATTTTGGGCCTACTCTATCCTAGTAATCTCCCATCCCAGATGCTGACTCTTTTGGTAGTTCCGTGTGACAGCCATAATCTCTCCTCTGAGAAGTTGGGACATTAATCTTCTCCGGCCCCTTCATACAGTCCTAGTTTTCTTTGTCTAAGGGAAACTGCTTGCCAAAGGCACGGGGACCAACTTTAGGTGAGTGAACAGCAGGTGTTTGGAGCAGAGATATCTGGCATGGGTATAAAACTATGATACCCTTTGAGCATCAAGGGCCATCTTCAGATCTCACATCCAGTAAGGTGCATATGCCCCATGATGCCCATTCTTGTAGAGGATAAGAATTTGAACTTAACCTCATTCCTCACCCTCTCCCAGTCAGCACTCTCCTTTTAGCCTCAGCTTGCCTTGGCCTAGACCACCAGCTTTTCTCAATGGAGTCCCATGTTGGGTGCTACCCTTCTGGTCTCCCTGCCTCTAGCCTCTTCCCTAGTCTAGAGCCCAGCTGCCACTGCAGTGCTAAGATCTTCCTTATTGCTTATCCTTGGCCTTGCTGAGACTCAGCCACACTGTTACTTTTGGTAGCCTCAAATATCATCATGGAAGCCAGTCAGAATCCTCTGTCCCACCCCTTCCTCAGCAATCCATCCACCTTCAGTTCCAATGCCACGGCCCATGGCTGTTGGAGGATGTAATCTTCTTTGGCAAAGCCAAGCCTCTACCTCTTCCATCTTCTCTTCATATGCTGGGCCCACAAAGGGAAGAAACAGTGAGGTGCCAAGAGAGGTGCCAGTCATACCCTGGAGTGTCATAAATGACTAGAGGGTAGAGATCTGCAGAACTCAGTTCAGGCTAGCTCCCTTCTCCCTCAGTCCCCCTTGGCCCCAGGGGAGGCTCCAGGACAGATGGTAAAAGTTCCTGGATAGATGGTAAAAGTTCAAGAACTGGTTTGGGGAATTTTCAGTTGGGGATTTGGGGATTGCTTTTTGTAAGAGTTTTTTCTTTCTTTCTTTTTTTCCCCTTGGGTTGGAGAGGAGAGGGGCATGGGGCTGGGCATCCACTCTCCCTGCCCCCAAATAAGGAATTGAGCCAGACACTAATGGCTCACTCCTGTAATGCTACCTACTCAGGAAACTAAAATCTGAGCATCACAGTTCAAACCTAGCCCAGGCAAGAAATTTGGTGAGACTTTTATCTCCAATTAACCACAAAGCAAACAAAGCCAGACTCAGAACTGTGGCTCAAGTGGTAGCCTTGAGCACAAAAACTTAAGGACAACACTTAGACCCTGATTTTAATCCCCAGGACCAGTATGTGTGTTGTGCGCACGTGTGTGTGTGTGCGCGCGCATGCGCGCGCACACACACAATCAAGCAAACTAGACTCGTCTTTGGAGGGTTCTACTGGGAAGAACTGAGGAGAAAGAGTAAGCCTATCTCTCTTCATCTGTGTGAAAGGCTTCCTCTCACACTCATACAGTTCAAACTTCACAGAGACAAAAATAAGACAAACTGATCTCAACCTCTGCAAATGACTGCTTGATTCATTCAACATGTATTTATTGAGTACTTATTTTACAATAGGTACCATTGGACACAGGCATAAATATAACAAACTCTTTGCTCTGGTATACTTACAGGGGGAGGGGAATATATACTGTGTCAGATGGAGAAATGAACCATGGAGAAAAATTGGGTTGGAAGAAATAGAGGATTTATTGGTTATCTATTGCTACCCTCCCCCAAACAAACAAACAAAAACTCTTAGAAACTTAAAATGATATGTATTTTCTCACACTTCTGTGGGTCAGGGATTCAAGATTGTCCTAGCTGGGTGGTTCTAACTCGTTGTTTCTTATGAGGTTGTACTAACAATGTTGGCTAGGACTGAAGGAAATGCTTCTAAGATGGCACACTCACTTGGTGGTCAGCAGGAGGCCAGGGGCCTTCTATACAGGATTATAGATTATATAAGGCTGTTTGTTTCTTCTAGAGTGGTTCAAGAGAGACTATAGAGGCAGAAGTACATTTTATGACCTAGTTGTGGAAGTCACACACTAGCACTTCTGCAATGTTATTATTTGTTAACATATATAACTAACTATAGCCTACACTCAAGGGAAAGGAAATTAGGCTATGCCTATCAAAAACTGGAGGGAGGCCAGGTGCCAGTGGCTTATGCCTGTAATCCTACTCAGGAGGCTGAGATCTGAAAACCACGGTTTGAAGCCAACCCAAGCAGAAAAGTCCCCATGAGCCTCTTATCTCCAATTAACCACTCAAAAACCCAAAGTGGAGCTGTGGCTTAGAGTGGTAGAGTGCTAGCCTTGAGCAAAATGCTCAGGGACAGAGCTCAGGCCCCGAGTTCAAGCCCCTCTATCAACAAAAAAGACACACAAACAACATAAAACTGGAGGAAAAGAACTGGATGTATAGTTCAGTGGTTAGAGCGTTTGTCTAACATATATGAGGCCCTGGGTTTAACAATCAGGGCTGCAGATGCACACATGGACTTGTGAACATACACACACAATTGTGAAAGTATCTGAAAGCCACTATAGGAGGATGCTGTGTGTTAAGGGAAGGAGTCACTGAGCAGGAACTGAAGAAGGGAGAGGGAAGAGCTGTGTGTGCCAACAAAATAAACTGAGAACTATGAAATGACCATTGCACTTAGCAACAGAGATGGGGAGGGGCCTGGGGCTTTAGTCCTTTGTGAGAGGGAGAAATGATAAGGTACACTTGGGCATCTCTGACAAGTATGTAGTTTGCACCTAGAGGTAGAGTTGGGTTACCAGAGGGGAAATCTTAGGAAATAAGCATGATTTTGCAAACCTTCACCAATAGAGGCCCTAATCAGTGCCTAACATGGCCAACCTGGTGGGAATGGGAGCGAGGTCAAGATGGCTATCTGCCTGGACTTCAGCCACTCAGAATCACGCATTTAGACTTGGGGTTTGAACTCAGGACAGCATACTTGCTAGGCAGGTACTGAACCACAGCCCTAGCCCTGATTGCTTTATTTTTGGGGGTAGAGGTGTGTCTCACATTTTTGCTAGGGCTGGCCTCTGTTCCTGATCCTTCTTCCTGAGATGATGAGTGTGCACCACCATACCTGGCCCACGATGTTGTTTTCAAGTGAAGTTATATGTGTAGCCTTTTATATTTGTGTTCACCAGAATATCAAGTGTGTATATATGTGTGCATATATAACTTTTTACACGGAATGACTATATTTGCTCACCCTTCCTGTCTCCATATAATTTCATAACTACATTTCTCCCACTTTTAATATACCAAGTCCTAAGAAGTAGAGTGGTCATGGTCTGAACTCCAGAGTAAGGAAGTAAGGAAGATGAAGTAAGCTTGGTGCTTAGGGTGTAAACATTAAGAGGGCAAGAACAGGGTCCTTGGTGCTGATGGCTCATACCTGTAATCTTTACTATTCAGGAGGCTGAGATCTGAGGATGGAGGTTCAAAGCTAGTCCAGGTAGGAAAGCCCATTACTATTATCTCCAGTTAACCAGAAAAAAAAAGCAGGAGGTGTGGCTCAAGGAGTAAAAAAGCTAAAGGACAGTGCCTAGACCCTGAGTTCAGGGTTCAGTACAGGCTATTAAAAAAGAAAAAACAAAAAATAGGACCCTTAGGACCCAGGGCACTTTAGCTTTCGTGCTTGCTTTACCCAAGTCCTGGTTCTCTCCACGTCACATATCACCAGAGGAGCTTCCACAAAAGTGTTGGGTTGATAGGCAGATCGTAGAATGAAGAACACCTGCTCTGTTTGGGAGGTATCTCTCATACTCTGGGGGCACAGAAGCTGACAAGAAATAAGTGATGCTTTCGGCCCCAAAGTGGGAGCACAGTGCCACCATGTGGCCAATCCAGGACTGGATTCTCAAGACGATCCACAGAATAATCTGTGGCATTCACAACTGTTGAAGTGAATTTTATATATATATACCAATCTGAAGGCCTCACCCCAGTACACCTTATTCCAAGGATGGAGCCCAGTAATCTGTAGACTCAACAAGGCTCCTAGGTAATTCTTAGGCACACTGTATTATATAGTCCCCAACACATTTAAAGTTTCTATCTTTTATAAACAGAATAGCACAGCAAGAAAGAGGCCTTTCTGAACTCCCCCTGGAGATAGTGGCTGTTCATACACAAAGAAATGGAACAGTTTGACAAGTCTTTATTAACAGAGACAGACAGATGAACAGAGAATGCAGTAGGGCAAAACCGTCTGGAAACTGTAATGGGGGATGTGTATACACGCAGAAAAAGCCTTCTCTAAGCTAGGGGATGGTCCCTTAGATCCAGGCCCACCTCTCCAGATCCTCTCCTTGGTGGTCAGACCTGGGATGAAGCCAACTTTCCCATATATACCCCCAAGGGAAGAACAAGGTTCTATCAGAGATGGAAGACCTTGGCTTCAGCATTCTCTACGTTCCCTTGACTCCCCAGTGACTTCATTGCTGGGGGCAGGGTAAGCCACATGGGGGGGGGCTTTGCATAGCAGGGGGTAGAATGGGGATAAGGCATATGGTGAGGAGAGAGGAGATGAAGGGGAAGGGTATCATAGCTACAGGTGAAGGGCAGTTCCTCTTCTCCCTCACCAACTCCTCTACCAGGGATTACGGCTGTACTGACAAGTCAGACCGAGGCGGAATGTAATATCCACCCCCATCCTTAACTCCAGAGCCTTGAATGCTGGCAGGAAACCCTGAACAGCCTGAGTTATTAAGTCAAGCTCGTGATATGTATATTCATGACTGGCCCCACTAGTATACTTGGGGCTCCTTCTCTGGATGGATATGAGTGCATGATCCTGAAGTACACGTAAGTCTTGACATCTATCTATTTAACTATATATGTGTGTGTCCCATTTGTTCTCAACGAGTTTTGTGTCTGGATGTCTAAGCATGTATGTCCCTCCTTGTACATCAGGAACTCAATAATCTGCATGGTGTGAATATGGCCCTGTCCACATAGGCTTTAGCAAGTGGATGTGTAACAGGCCTGCCTGCTCCTGTTCATCCACAGGTCTCTCTTCAGGCCTAGCTGGTCAGGGGTCCTGGCCAAAGAGGTAGGTGGTGAGCTCAAGTCGGAGGCCCCGGGCATAGGAGCGGAGGGTATAGAAGAGGGTGAAGAAGTCCTGAGTGCTGAAGACAGTGTCGGCCAGTGCGAAGGCCAGGGTAGATGGGATGACACCCCGGCCGTACTCCACCATCCATGTGTTTGGCGCCCATTCCACAGCCGTTGCCTCGCCAGGCCTGTGCACAACTGTCTCCCCTGAGGGATAGGGAGTACCCATGTGAGGAGCCCACTCTGCCCTGTCCTTCATTGTTACATTTTCCTGGCCTATGGCCTACCTATCCGGGTGGGACATAAAGAGACAGTCTTAGGAGAGGAAAAAGTCCTATCCCACTTGGCCCACCATCTAGAGGGGTAAGAGACCCAGATGGCCACTCCTACATATTCTACAGCCTCACCTGGCCCATGTTCTGTCTTGGAGGAAGCCAGAAAGGCCTACTCCCAACTGGCCATGAGCCAATGTATGGAAATCTACATTCTCAATTCTCAAACATATCAAGTGGAAATTTAGCTAAAATGGGCTGAGCTTGTTAAATAGGATGGTTACAAGATTTGTGAGGCTTTTGGAAATTTTTTTTTTTTTTGGGTCTGGTCATGGGGCCTGAACTCTGGGCCTGGGCGCTGTCCCTCAGCTCTTCAGCTCAAGGCTAGTGCTCTACCACTTGAGCCACAGCACCACTTCCGGCTTTTTTCTTTTTGCTTATGTGGTGATGGGGAATTGAACCCAGGGCCTCATCCATGTAAGGCAAGCGCTCTACCACTGAGCCACCTTCCCAGCCCCTGGAATTTTTCTTTTAACTGTTCAATCACACTGCTTGTATGTTTACACTCAACCTCTAACCCGCTATGAAGTCCAAAGCTCCACTTTCTTTCCTACCAAAAGCTCTATTTTTAAGAAATGTAAATGGTTTCATTATTTAAAATGAAAGAGGTGGGAGACAACATCTATCTTAACTAGCACATTTACTATTAACTGTCTCCCCAACAAGTGCTGGAATATTGTCTGGGTAAAACAGTGTCCTGGCGGATAAAAATTGGACACGTTTGTCAGAAAGCTATGTTTTGTTTCTCTTAAACAGGGGAGAGCAACAAAGTCCCTTAGTTCTGCCTCAACCAACTACCTGTGGCTTATGAGGCTGGGGAGGAAGGAAACCATGGGCCCCCCCCCCCCCCCCGTGCGCTCTAATCCCATTTCTGTGTCCTGTTCACTTCCCCACTTGTGTGCCTCCCTGCATGAGGGGAGCCATATTTTTGGCACAGCCTCCTTACTCACCTGGATAGAAAACCTCACTTTTGGTGGTGCCCTCTCTCCACTGGTAGAAGGTGCCAGAGATGATGGTGTCAGAAATTTCAGCCCAATAGCGCCCTGAGTGACAGATAGACATCGACTATCAGGGTGTCTTCACCTCACTTATAGCCCAGATGAACCACAGAAAAGAGGGCCTGGCCCAGCTTCCCGGTACGGCCCACCGCTAGCACTGACCCGAGTGGCCGCTGGAGCCCAGGGCGGTGCCGAAGAGCAGCACGTACTCGGACAGCGAGGCGTGCAGAAGGCACATGGCGCCCATCCAGCCGCCCGCGTTCACAAACACCCACTGCAGCTCCTCGTCGGGCAGCACGTGGCCTGGGTGCAGCCGCCGCAGCTCCACGATCAAGCGGGAGAAGGCCAGCTCTTGATCCAGCCCTGGCGGAAACAGAAGCGGCGGAATCAGGACCAACCCCATCCGTGGCTCCCGGGGTACAGCACCCTGGGAAACCACATTTCTGGCTCTGCCGGGCCAGCTCGCCCCGCTCCCGGTTCCCCGATTTCCGATCCCCGCCCTCAACCCGCTCACCAGCGTACTGCCGCGCCAACTGCGCGATCTCTTCGGGCTGGAAGACGAAGGTCTGCGTACCCAGCCAGAGCCAGAGGACTTGGGTTAGCACCGCCGCGGCAGCCAGAAACAGCGCGGCCCACGCCCACCGCCGACCCACTGCCCACTGCATCCCGGTAGCTGGCCTGGCACCGCTCCGCACGGCCGAACGCAGCGTACCGCAGGAGAGAGTCTAGGTCCGGCCCCGGTGCCCGCCAGCGGCGGTCCCGACTCACTCCCCCGCAAACACTGTGGTATGGCTCGATCTGGCCAATCAGAGAGGTCCGGGCACTGTAGCACCGCCCTATAGGTTGAACCATTTACTAATAGGGGGCACAGAGGGTGGGGAGGCGTCACGCACGTGAGGTGAGGGGGCGGGGCCAAGCTTTCCGGCTGTGGGCGTTTAAGCGTCTGTTTGCAGGCTGGGTTTCTCAGCTGCTGCGTCTGCGGTGTGCAGTGGGCTGCGGGGCGACCCACAAGGGTCGACCTGCCTGAGACTTGTAAAGTCTCTGGGACTCGTAACTATTAAAAGGACCTCCTTTGCTAGCACAGGATCAGCTTGGAGAGGTGGCCGAACCTGGAAGCATTAAGTAAAGCTTTCCAGACGTAGTGACACCCAATGTCTTTAAGCCAGGAGAAGGGCATTCCAGTCTATGAGACCCCATTGCAAGAGCCAAGACACCTAGGGGAGAGACAGCATAGGGATGTTTAGGGGTTCTATGACATGGGGCTGTTTAGGGGTTCTATGATCAACTTTTGTTCTGAGGTACAAAGATGTAAACCAGTAGTTTACACAAGGTTATGCACAGGGAAGCAGTGGGATTAAATTTTGCCCTGAGTAGCACAGGGATACACAATATCTGCGGAGGGGGCGGAGAGGGGGGTGGAGCAAAATGAGAGTTGGGGGATACCATAACAAATGTCCAAGAAAGAGAGAAGATCTGTGTCCGTGGAGATTAAAAGAAAAAAGTGAGCTTGAGAACTGTGGAAATAGGGTTGACAAGGCTTGCTCTTTTCCAGAAATTCTCTTTTCCATCTTTCTCTTCTTCAATTTACTTGGCTAACACACTTGTTCATACCGAGTGGGCAGTTAGTTGTGTCCAGATCAGGAACTCAAATCCAGTCTAGACACAGGAAGTATTATTTATTCAGGTAACATTTTAGCACCTGTGTGGACCAAGTTCTGTGGTGACCACAAGGAATATGGCTCTAGTCAGTGCAGCATGGTCTCATCCAGTTTAGAGATCTCACTGCAGAGTCCTTAGAAACGGTAGTAATTAAAATCTAAAGGCTAAAGATGTGGTTCAAGTGGTAGAGCACCAACCATGGTATGATCAAGCAAGCTGAGCAAGAGTGAGTCCCCTGAATTCAAGCTTCAGTACACACAAATAAAATGCTGTTTTAGTTGGGGGCCAGTGGCACATCTGTAATCCTAGGCACTCAGGAGATGGAGATTTGGAGGATTGAATTTCCAAGCCAGACCAGGAAGAAAAGTCCAAGAGACTCCATCTCCAATTAAGCAGCAAAAGCTATGCTGGGGGTATGGCTCAAGTGGTAGAGCACCACTCATGAACAAATGATCAGGAGGCTCTGAGTGCAACTTCAGCACTGGCAAGGAAAAATTAAAAAAAAATCTACAAACTGATCTGTGCATGGTAATTCCAGCACTCCTGAAAGCTTAGCTCTAAAAAGCATCATTGGCTAAGGGACAAATAGCAGAAGAAGAGAACAAAAAGGCAGTAAAGTGAAAGAGAAAAAAGGCAGCATTGTGACATAATGGGGGGATTAAAAAATAAACTCAAGATTGAGCTATAGCTTCGTGTCACAATTCTTATCTAGCTTGTGAAAAGCTCTAGGTTAGATCCCAGAAAAACAAAATAAGGGCTGGGGTTTTGGCTCAAATGGTAAATCACCTGTCTAGCAAGCACCAGGCTAAATTCAATCCCCAGTACTGCCAGAGAGAGAGGGAGCGTGGGCAGGCAAGAGACAGACAGACAGACAGAGACAGAGAGACAGAGGGACAGAGAGAGGCAGAAAGCAGAAAGAACTCAAAGTGGACTGCCTATGTTCAAACTTGACTTACAAGTTGTGTAATTTTGTATAAGTTTTCTGTGACTCAATTTTCTTATCTGTAAAATGGAATCAATAAAATACCTACCTCATAGGACATACCTTCATTGTGATGAAGATTAAATGAGTTAATATTTTTAAAGCAATTAGTGCTTGCATATGGTGAGCATTAAACGTGTTCTATAAATAAAACATAAAGGAACTGAATGAAAATAGCCTAACACATGGGAGTGATGGAATAAAAGATCAACACAGTCAAATATAATTGAGAGGCTCAATAAGAGGATGGGAAATGATCATTAGATATCTCAGTAGAGACGTGTGGCAGAGACATTTCCTCTGCTCTTAGGCAACCAGAGTCTGGTTACATTTCACAGTCTACTCTAGTCAGTTGGGTTCATGTGATTGCATCCTAGGCAATGAAATGTAGGCTGATGATGCATATGGCTTCCAGGTTTAGTTCCTAAAATCACCTGTGAAATTCTTTACATTCTCTTTATTTGCTCATCTATTACAGTGTTAGAGAGGACCTAAAAGGTAATTGTAAAGCATTGGGGAGTGGTAGGCACAAATAGATGGAACCAAATTCTCTGATTGCTTTGTGGAACAATACTTCCTCCACCTCAAACACACACACACACACACACACACTGGATTGTGGTGCTAAGCCACTGAGTTTGGGGAGTCATACCAACTAAAATTACACTCACGGAAAAAAAGATATGACACTATATATTGTGTAGCTCAGAAGCAGAGGTAGAGCTCAAGTGGTAGAATACCAGTCAAGTGAAAAAGGCAAGTGAGAGCACACCCCCCTCTAACTGAGGATTTAATTTAGGGTCCTAGTACTTGCTATTCTACTTGAGCTGTGTCTTTGGTCTTTTGTTTTTGTTTTTAGGCTGGTCTTGGTAAGTAATCCAGGCTTGTCTTAAACAGGTCATTATTGTCATCCTCCTGCCTTAGTCTCTGTAGTTTTGGGATTGTGCATGTGTGCCACAATTTGCAGCAATAATTTCTTTTTTATTTTTCCTTTCTCCACCAAGTTTCTAAAAAGAAGCCTATCTCCTCTGCCTCTATTCTTAGCTGCACTGCATATAGAAACATGTCTTTTGCATGTATTAGGGTAGATAATTTTAGTTGCTGTCATAAAGAATCCTCCAAAGCTCACTGACAAACAGTTCCTAAAGCTCATGGACTCTTCAGTAGCAAGGACTAGCAGCAACATCTGCTTCTTGCTTTTCATTCCAGGAAGACCCATCTGAGACCAATTGGGCCTCTAACAATCTTATCAGATCTTTCAGAAAGCTTCTTCAGTGCATTCTGTTTAATTTTTTTTAAATCCTGTGTTATTGAATGACCCCAGGATGAGACTAAGGTAGTAAACATCATAATTATATTCCCTAAATGCCATAGTAGAGATTGTACTTCTCAGATCTGGAAAGGAGAAATCTGGGTAGGCCCCATATAAGCCATTGTCCTTTCCCCCTAAAAAGTAATCAAGGACTGGGCATAGTAGCAAATGCCTGTAATCCCAGCTGTTCAGGAGGGTGGAAGAGGCTGGAGGCTCAACAGTTTGAGGCCAGCCCCAGCAAAGTTAGAGAGACCCTGTCTCAAAATCAAAATTAAAAACAAAATGTCTGGCGAGGGCTGGGAAGGTGGCTCAGTGGTAGAGCACTTGCCTTTCATGCATGAGGCCCTGGGTTCCATTCCTCAGCACCACATAAGCAGAAACAAAAGCCGGAAGTGGCACTGTGGCTCAAGTGGTAGAGCGCTAGCCTTGAGCTGAAGAGCTGAGAGACAGCGCCCAGGTCCAGAGTTCAGGTCCACGACCGGAATCCTCCCTCTCCCCCCAAAAAAAAAGTCTGGCGAGGTGTCAGTGGCTCAGGCCTGTAATTATAGCTACTCAGAAGGCTGAGATCTAAGAATCATAGTCAGCCCTGGCAGGAAAGTCCCTGATATTCTTATCTCCAATTAACCACCAAAAACCATAAGCGAGGCTTTGGCTCAAGTGGTAGGGCACTAGCCTTGAACAACAACAACAACAAAAAAGCTCAGGAACGGTGTTCAAGATGCAGGTTTTGAGTTCAAGCCCCAGGACTAGCTCAAAAACCAACAAAAAACAAAGGCCTAGAAGCATTTTGTTTTACTGAGTCAAGTAGTGGTGACAGGAGCCCTGGATTCAGTCCCCAATATGAATGGAAAGAGAGTGCCTGCAAAGGAGACACACAAGGAGAGGAGTGCTGTGGAGACTTTCCTGAAGAGTCAGCTGGTATGGTTAGCACGGGAGCTGTCCACAAAAAGTAGTCCCTCAAACAAAGACAACTGAAACAATAGAGAAGCAGATCTCCTACCCTTACCCCTCACTTCCTCTTGTATGAGTGACCAGTCAGTGGAGGGAGTAAAACTCATTTCTGAGCCCTGTTCTCTGCCTTCTACCTAGTAGTGTCTTCTGATTCTACCCTGAGGACTGTAGGGCAGAGATCAGGTACATGACCAGTGACCTAATTTTTGCAGCTTGGCTGCAGAATATCTAGCTCTGCCTAGCCTGACTTGGGAAAGGATCTTTCCTCTTATAGGCCAGTTCCTAGCTCATGAAGTTTCTGTCTTGAATCGTACTGAAGTCTATCCTCATGTTAGCTCATTATTCTTATTGAAGAATTTGGAGAAGAGAAGGTGTGTAAAATACTTCAGATATGGGCTGGGAAGGTGGCTCAGTGGTAGAGCGCTTGCCTTGCATGCTTGAGGCCCTGGGTTCGATTCCTCAGCACCATGTAAGCAAAAAGAAAAAAGCCAGAAGTGGCACTGTGGCTTAAGTGGTAGAGTGCTTGTCTTGAGCTGAAGGCCCAGAGTTAGGGCCCTCCCCCCAAAAAAAAAAACTTCAGATGTCTCTTGGCTAGTAAGTGATGATGTTACTTACTGATGGTCCTGTCTTACACACACACACACATACACACACACATTTTATATATATATATATATATACACACACACATATACTATATATGCAACGTATTTGTATATATTTTGGAGAGATACTGGGTTGTGAACTCAGGACCTTGTGCTTGTATTCTACCACTTGAGTCACACTTCCAGCCTTTAAATATATATATATATATATTTTTTTTTTTTCAGAGAGATTCTCATGCTTTTGCCCAGGGTCAGCCTCAGATAGTGATCTTCCCACTGTTACCTCCAACCTTCACCTCCAGCCTAGCTGTGATTACATACATGTGCCACAATGTCTCTCTCTCTCTGCATCCCCCACTCCCCAACTCAGGGTCTCATATTCTTTTTATTGGGTCGAACCCAGGGCCTCATGCATGCAAGGCAAGTGCTCTACCACTGAGCTACCTTCCCAGGTCTCATATTCTTGTTCAGCTTTCTTACTCACAGCTGGATCTCTACCACCTGAGCCACACCTCAGGTCCAGCATTTTGCTGTTATCTGGGCATAGCATCTCTCAGACTTTTCAGCCTTACCTGACACTCCTGACTTGTGCCTACAAGGAATCCAAGGCTTCACATTTTCTTTCTTTTTTTGGGGGGGGGGTTCTGGTCGTGGGGCCTGAACTCTGGGCCTGGGCACTGTCCCTCAGCTCTTCACCTCAAGGCTAGTGCTCTACCACTTGAGCCACAGCTCCACTTCCGGCTTTTTTTTTCTGCTTATGTGGTGCTGAGGAATCGAACCCAGGGCCTCAGGCATGCAAGGCAAGCGCTCTACCACTTAGCCACCTTCCCAGCCCCAGGCTTCACATTTTTAAAGCCCAAGAGTCTGGCACATAGTAGATGGTCAGTACATATTGATTTAACGAATAACCAGATGAATGATTTGAGTGCAGCAAATTAGTCTGGTAAACGCCCTGGAGCTGAAGGACTGTGAGGCAAGCAGCTTTCACCGAGAGAGGTTCCTCCAGGGCCTTGGATTCCCGGTCTGGCTATTGTGCCTGCTGTCAGTCATCTCGCGGTGATGTCCCGCCTTCCTGAGCCCCGCCTCCAGGTGGCTGACGGCGCCACCAGTCTGTCACGTGCTGGCGGCTGGCCAATCACGGGGGCGGGGCGGAGCAGAGCAGACAGCGGGGGCAGCGTGAGTTGGGGCCTCTCCGACATTCCTGGCAGTCCCTGGGGTGGCCTCATGCTGCCCAGCGGAATCGACCCCGAGCAGCGCCGGCAGGCGTCTGAGGAGGACGCCCCGGCTTCAGTCTTCCGGGCCAGCGGTAACTGCAGGGCGGTCGGGACGCCTTGGGACACAGTGCTGAGCGTGCGCTGCACACTTCCTAAGGCTTAGGGAGTACTGACCCCATGTCCAGGCCGGCTCGCCCGCCCCAGGCTGGGGCTCCGCTGGCCGAGAGAGGGGCTGCAGGCCCTTTGGCGCTGGGAAGGTCAGGCTCTGGGCCTTTTGCTCCCGAGAAGGACCGGGACTAGAGGGCGTCTCAGAGCTTGGGCCCGGCCTGCTGGTGGGTGAGAACAGCAAGGGGGAGCCAGAGAGCTTTGCTGACTGACTGTCCCCACCCTCCCCAGAGCATCAGCATATTCGCTACAACCCGCTGCAGGATGAGTGGGTGCTGGTGTCAGCTCATCGCATGAAGCGGCCTTGGCAAGGACAGGTGGAGCCCCAGCATGTGGAAACAGTGCCCCGCCATGACCCTCTCAACCCTCTGTGTCCTGGGGCCGTGAGGGCGAATGGCGAGGTAAGCCTGCAGAGCCATATGCACAGTGTGGACCATCGAGAGGGTAGCCCCGCCCTTACAGCTGCCAGTCACTCACAGGAGGGACCATATCTTACCTCGCCTACCCTCTAGCAGCCTGTGCAACCCTACCCCCCCCCCCACCAGATGGTGGTATGGGGGAGAGGATTTTCTAGCCTATTCTTGTCAGTAGGTAAATCCCCACTATGATGGCACCTTCCTGTTTGACAATGACTTCCCAGCTCTGCAGCCTGATGCTCCTGATCCAGGTAACTTGATTCTAACCCTTGATGGGGAGGCCACACCTCTTGGGGAAACTGCTGCTGCAGGCAGTGATGATATTCCTTTACCTCAGGTCCCAGTGATCACCCCCTTTTCCGAGCAGAGGCTGCCAGGGGAGTTTGGTAACTATGAATTTATCTTCTTAAATTTCAACCCAGGGTTGAAGACGAAGCCCTGGGATTGGGTCCTGCCCCTAGTGTCCAATCCCTATGCCTCTGTTGTCCCTCACCACCTAGTAAAGTCATGTGCTTCCACCCCTGGTCGGATGTGACACTGCCACTCATGTCGCCCCCTGAAATCCGTGCTGTCATCGATGCGTGGGCCTCAGTCACAGAGGAGCTGGGTGCTCAGTACCCTTGGGTGCAGGTCTGTGAGGCCTCCCCTTTTCCTGGAAGAGAAGGGATGGGGAGATGGAAATTTGGTTCAGGGGAAATAGTATTCTTGTTTCTATGGGGATGTTGTTGGGAGGGAGTTGACTTGATGTCTTTGGATAATTAAAGCTCTCTACCCCTACCCAACAGATCTTTGAAAACAAAGGGGCTATGATGGGCTGTTCTAACCCCCACCCCCACTGCCAGGTAAGTTTGTTAGAAACTGGAATGGCTTTAGTGGAGTTTAAGCCAGCACTATGAACAGGGATAGAATAAAAGAAATATACTAGTGATATAGGGGCTTGGAAATAAAATACCTGCCTTTCTTTTTGCTCCTGTCCATGCCAGGTGTGGGCTAGCAGTTTCCTGCCAGATATTGCTCAGCGTGAGGAGCGGTCTCAGCAAGCCTATCAGAGTCAGCATGGAGAGCCTCTGTTAGTGGAGTATGGCCGCCAGGAGCTCCTTAGGAAGGTGGGCCTTCTTATCCCCAAAGAGAGAAGTATATGAATGAGAAAGGTAGAAGGGAACTAGCAAGAGGCATGCTAGAAAGCACTAGCAATAATCTAAGGAAAGATGATAATGGCTTAGACTTGGGTGAAGGTGGTAGAAGTGGTAAGAATCTATCAAATGCTTTATTTGCTGACCTGCTTGTTTGCTTATTCCCTCTCCTCACACCAATGTTAAGGATCTCATTTCCATTCTCTGTGCCCAGGAACGTCTGGTTCTAACAAGTGAGCACTGGTTAGTGCTGGTCCCCTTCTGGGCAGTGTGGCCCTTCCAGACTCTACTACTGCCCCGGCGGCATGTGCGGAGGCTGCCTGAGCTGACCCCTGCGGAGCGGGATGGTCAGTCTCCTAGCTGGGACACAGGGACTGGACTCTGGTTGGAGTGGCTCTAGTAGGACAAACCACTGGTTTCCAACCTGAGAGTCAGCTTCTGGTTCCAGATTTAGCCTCCATCATGAAGAAGCTTTTGACCAAGTATGACAACCTATTTGAGATGTCCTTTCCCTACTCCATGGGCTGGCATGGTAAGACTTTTTGAGTATCTATATTTAGCCCCAACACCATTTCTGAGTTCTGTTTCCCTGCCTATTTGGTAGGGATGTGTCAAGAGCAAGGATGCTAGGGTTGAGGATGGAGCAGCAAATTTGGTGAAACTCACTTGTATGCTTTCTAATGCTTGGATGCCTCTGATGGAGAATGCTGGGAGATGTAGATTTTGACTATCTAGCCTGGTTTTGGGGTAGGAAATAAACTGAAGACTTGAGAAAAGGGCCTTCTCTACCATTTTCTTCTCAGGGGCTCCTACAGGATCAGAAGTTGGGGCCAAGTGGGACCACTGGCAACTGCACGCTCATTACTACCCTCCACTTCTGCGCTCTGCGACTGTCCGGAAATTCATGGTTGGCTATGAAATGCTTGCCCAGGCCCAGAGGGACCTCACCCCTGAGCAGGTCAGACCTCGGAGCATCCTGGATCCTCAGGCTCCCTTTTCACCCATACTTCTTTAAGGGTTCCCAACAGTCATGACCCCAAGGATCCTCATAAAAACATGGGCATTCCTAGGAACTCAGTAGCTGTTCTACCCCCATCCTCTGGTAACTCCACCTATCCTGACCACCGTAAACCCTTTCCATACACCCTTATCACAGTGTGTCACCTGGGTGTCCAAAGTCCATACTATCATTCTGGGTGGCCTTTACCCTCCCTGATTGTCTCTTGTCTCCTTTCTAGGCTGCAGAGAGATTAAGGGCACTTCCTGAAGTACATTACCAGTTGAAGGCGAATAAGGAAACAGCAGCTGTCATCTGACCACACTGACCACAGGGCCTTGAAGCTTTCTGGCTGAGAGAACTGGAGTTTGGGCAGATGCAGTATCAATAAAACTGCTTCTTGAGCTCTAACCACCTATTGTGATATCAGAGGAATATGATCTCTACCACCTTTAGAGATCTGAGATTAAAGGCTAAATGTTCTTCTAGCCGGTTTTCTTTGCTGACAGATATTTAACACCTTGATGTGCAAATTGTAGCCCAAATCTCTGACTCTCCGGGTTTGCATCTGGCCTAATGATTCTCTTATTCATGTTACACACGTTGTTACAGTTTAGGAAAGTGTTAAAGTATTGTGTTCTTAGCTGAGGCCAAGGCTTTGGGGAGCCCAGGGTCCTCTTCACTGTTGGACCTGGTGTCAGCTCCCTGAACCCCAGCCTCAGGATTTGGTAGAGAGAGGGTGAGTAGGATCCTGATCCCAGTGGTCACTGGCCAGACCCTGGGCTGCTAGCCAGAACCCTGACTTTGTGAGTGGCCACAGTTTGGCTGTGCTCCATCCCACAGGGGCTGAAAAGGGTGGGTAAGGAGTATTTATGTGGCTTTGTGTCCTTGGCTTCCTCAGACGCTCACATGCAGTATGTGTACCCTCAGTACACCTGTTTGTTCCCCTACCATCCCCATACCTCCCCCTCTACTGCCCCAGACATTGCACATGGCAATAGACATCTCTGACAGGGAAGGGGCAGCAAGAGGTAGGAGCCCCAGAACCTAGAAGCAAGGTGCCATTCTCAGAATGTCATAGATTCTACCCCCTCCCATCTGAACATGTTTCCCTAGTGAGAGGGGGGAGGGGAAAACAGGTCATGTGACCCAGGAAAACAGATGTTACCTCCTGTCTTCCAAATTTTAAGGTGAAGGCAAGGCATATGAGTAATGCAAAGATGGCCAGGACACTTTTAGTCTTTTTTTTTTTTCCCTTAGGAAAACTGAGTCTCTGGGTGGGGGAATTACATTGACACTGGACAGTGACTGGACAGGCCCCAGAACCTTGGCTGCCTGCCTGCCTTATAGTCCAGGGTGTTTTTGTTTTGTTTTGTTTTTTCCTGAGAGACCTTGGAGGGGAAGTATCTAGGACCTGGTACTGTTAACTAGTCAAGAAGGAGATCAGAGACATAGTAGGCATTTCCCTTGCAAGTCCTGAAAAGGAGGTGGCTGATTTTTTTAAAAGGCAAACATAAACATGCGCTTACACTGCATAAATATATGCTTGCACCTCCATGTTCACTGCAACTTGTCAGGTTTTAAACAACACTGAACTGTAGGTCCGACCTTCAGAGACAGGGATTTAACTGGCAAAAGGCCTGGCATTTCTAAAACCACAACACTCAGCAAAGTTTAAGAACTACTGTTCTACACTGGCTTTCTTTATCTGGAGTCTAGGGCACCTTCAATATTTCTAGTCACCTGCCCAGGGGCTTCTAAGCCTTAAACCTGGCACTTTGTTTGTGGATAGCTGGGAGAGGAAGGGGCCTGAACGCTTTTAGTCTTACTGTCCCCAGATGAGGACAGACTTTCAGTCCAAGTCCCAAGAATACAGCTTTGGGCTCTGTCCTGGCATCTACCCCCTGCACCCTCCTCCATCCCAGACGGGACAGGAAGTGTCCAGAGGAGGTGGGGGTGGATGTGATTGGCAGTTGGAGGCTCCAATGGGCCGGGAGCCCCCGCTATTTCACCTCTCTCCTTCTATTGGTGCCTGGGTGGAGCCGCCCCCAACTGCAGGAGCCCCGGGCAGGAACGAGTAGAGACCCGGGCAGAGGGCGAGGGTGGAGGGCGCTGGCGTTGGCGGGCTGCAGAAGGTGAGGCCTGGTGGGGTGGGCGGGTGTTGACTACGAAGTCTTGCCAGAAGGAGGCGGGGCAGAGTGGTGTATGATCTTAAGGGCCCCGAGTGACCGACTGTTAAGTGTGTCTGTGCGCCTGTGAGGCTGAAGATGTCAGAGTGTGAGACTCAATTGCTGTAATTGTCAGCTAATGTGCCAGTGCTCCCGTGCTTGTAGCTGAGTCTGCATGTGGTAGTGAGAGGGTGGGATTGTGTGGGCCGTTTCTGGTGAGTTGTGAAGGTGTGTTTGTGTGTGTGAGAGGGACTGTGACCACATGGGGAATGTATTCTGGGAAGGTCTCTGTGGGGTTTAAGATTGTGTCTGCCAGTGTGAGAGTGGGTGGTTAAGTTTGTGTGTGGCTAGTGTGTGACTTCAGCAAGTAATAGAGCAAGAATGAGACTTGTGACTCTGTGTGTGCCCTGCATCCCAACAGACTGCTTGGGAGTACTACTTGTTCCTATACTGAGGGACCCACTTTCATAGCAGAGTGGAACTAACCTTTCTACTTTGCCTGCAGCATATACAGGCCCATCTGTACATCCCTAACACGTGTGGCTTGCCTTCCTTCTTCCTCTTCTCCCCTCTTTATGTTAACCTCTATGGTTCCTTGTATTTCTTCCCCTTCTGGGAGATATGTTGCTCACAGTTGTTGTTTTCTCTCCCAAGTGTTTCTGTGCATCTGTTTTTCTAGTTCTGTGCTCAAGCTGTTTCTCAATGTCCCTGTGCTTGACTCTTTTACCTGGGGGCCTGTAACAGTGACGTGCTGATCTGCCATTGCTAAGAGGAGTTGCTTTTAGGGAATGCTGCAGCTCCACCCCAGAGGCAGAGAGAGAAGGGGGAGGGGGAGGAAGAGCGAGAGGAAGAGAGAAGAAGAGGGAGAAGAAGACTGGGGGGGGGAGAGGAAAGAGGAGAGGAGAAAGGAAAAAAACAGAAAAACTGTAAGTATGTGGAGAAGTATGTAAGCATGTCTGAGTCCTAGTGATGATGTCTGAATGTATCAGTGTGACTCTGACTATCTGAGAGTGTGGGTCTGAGGTTAAGTATGAGTCCTGTGTATCTGGCACCAAGGAACCAGAGGCATTTCCTGGTGCTGGGGCCCAAAGGGTAGAAAGGGAGATGAGAAATGGCTGGAACTTCCAGGGAAGGGGGTAACTGAACTCTGGCCTTTCCATATATCCCCCAGTCTGGGACCTTCCTTCCCCTGGAAGCCCAGACAGCTGTGCCCTAATGAAATATTTGCTGGGGAGCAAAAAGAATGGTAACAGGAGTTTGTGTCTGGTTTCCATTTGATTGTATCCATATGTGTTCAAAGGAGTGTCTTTGTTAACGGTATGTAGTGAATCCATATGTGAATGTGGCTATATATGACTGTGAAAACAGAATTTCCTAGTGATGGAGGATTTAAGCATAAGCAACTCTCCTCTTCCTCTTGCTGGCTCTGGCTGTGTCTGTGGCTTCATTTTCAGCCCAGGGGGAACTCTTCCCTTCCCAGGGCTTGGGGTGGGAGGAGAGGAAGAGGGAGGAAGGAGAGGGGAGAAGATGGGAAGTAGGGGGAGTAAGCAGGAGGTTAGGGGAGGGGGCCTGGTTGGGGCAGCTGGGCTCCAGGGCTGGGGGGGTGGGGCAGGAGAGAATGGGAAGGAGGGATTAGTTCTGGGGTTACAGAACTGAGTGGATAGGAGTGCTGGTGCAATGGCTGGTAGGAGGAAGTCCTGGAGGCCATTGAACACTTAGTCACTGGGATCATAGAGGTAGGGCTGGGCCAAGTAGGGTCAGTGTGGCTGGGGGCAGGGCAGGGGGCAAGAAGGAGCCACCAAGACAAATTCAGACTGACACAAACACAAGAGGCCCATGCTCCATTTAACTCCAGCGGGGTATGTGTTCTTCCTCTTTTGGCACTCTGGACAAGAACATTCTCCCCATTTGCTTTTTTACTACTGCTTACTGCCCCCCTCCAACCTCCACCCAGATCCTCTCTCCTAGCCCTCTTCTGTGGAAACATGCACACACTGTTAGAGCCTCCTCAGACATGTTTGAGTTCCCCTGACCCCAACCCTACCCTTGCCTCGTTGGACCCCCTGCTCCCTCTTGGGTCTTCAGGACGGAGTGATCAGGACCTATTCTGTTAGTGTTGTGGTCTCTATTCTAGGCCCCTCTATTCTTGCAGGCTCCAAGTCCTCCTCCCCTTTCCGCCACCCTGTCTCCATCTCCATCTGCTGGCTGCTTGCCCGTCCCCAGCCTCTGGCAGCAGCCAGGGCATCTGGATCCGCTTAACTCTGCAACCCCAGCCTGCACCCTAGCTTCATCCAGCCTCATAAGCTAGACCAACAAGATTTCAAGCCAGGCCCAGCTGAGTAGCCCAAGTAGCCAGAGCAAGGGGCCAGAACCAGGCCAGAGACTTGAAAGCCAGAGCAGGACTAGACCTCATGGTAAGATTACAGGGCAGTTTTGGACACGTTACACAGCCCCCATGCTGCAAGGTGATAAGGTTTGCTTCGGGTTAGTCAGAGGCAGTGATTAGCCATGGACAGGTGGGATGAATGCCAGAATTCCCACGAAATGGAGTGGAGGGTTAATGGGAGTGGTTAAGCCAGTGCCAGCCTTTGGTGCCAGGGGTGGGTGCCAAGAGTGGTGTGTCGGGGAGGGGGTGCTGGCACAGTCTGTTGCCTCCGGCTTTTGTTCTGGGCCCTAAGCCCAGGACTGAGATGGTATGTGTGTGTGTGCGCGCGTGCGCATGTGTACATGTGCCTGTGTGAGTTATGTAGTGTGTGTGTGTGTGTGTGCGTGTGTGCGCGTGCGCGCATGCATGGGGATATGATGGAAAAGAAGGCTTCTGATCACACCCAGTGTTTTCTAATAGCTTTAGTTCACTTAGTACCTCAGTTGTCTTTGGAGAGCAGGAACCAGGCTTTAGCCTCCTATCTCAGGGATGGGGGAATCCCTGATACTGTCTCTCTTCCCACAGATGAGCCACAGCTACTCAGGGCTGAGCAGGGTCCTGGTGGTCGTGGCTGCAGCCCTGGTGTCTTCCTCTTCGCTCTGCCCCCAGGCCTGGGGTCCCTCAGGTAAAAAGAATGATGTTCTGTGACCCCCTCCAACTCTGATGGAGGATTTGCCACTTAGTGACCCCCTTCCCATGTCTTAACTGTGACCACTCCTAATCTCTGTTCATGGGGGTCCCTTTTCTACTTTGTCCTCTAACAGTATATCTTTTTTTGTTGTTTGTTTTTGTTAGTCGTGGAGCTTGAATAACTCAGGGCCTGAGTGTTGTCCCTAAACTCTTTCATTCAAGGCTAGGACTCTACCACTTTGGGCCACAGCTCCAGGTCCCTTTCTGGTTTTCTGTGGTTAATTAGAGGTGAGTCTCATGGATTTTTCCTGCCTGGACTGGCTTTAAACTGTGGTCCTCAGATCTGAACCTTCTGGGTAGCTAGGATTACAGGTGTGAGCCACCAGTGCCCAGCTTCGATAGTGTATCTTGACACTTTAATCCTAGTTGATTGACAGTCTTATGCCTTATCTTGTCACTCTCATAAAGTGAGACAGAGGGGAATGGGAAAAAGAATATTACCTCAGAATTGCCCTTTTCAGGGGTCCAGTATGGGCAGCTTGGCAAGTCGGTGATGCTGTGTTGTCCTGGAGTGAATGCTGGGTAAGTAATCCACCTGCCAGTTGATATGACACTCTTGATCTGCCCTGACTTATGTTCCCTCTCATACCCATCTCTTTTTCCTAATTATCCTCGTTTAATAGAAAATTCAACTAGAGCTGGGAGTGGATTGTTGCTTGGCATACATGGAACTATTTGACCCCAAGTACCTTCCCTCCCCCCCACACGAAAAAAAAAAACCTGATAAAACAATAGATATGTATGTATTGGGCACTAATTGCCTTGCGTATTTTGGACTCTAGGAGGCAGGAATACACAAGCCAGGAAATTATTGCCCTCGCAAAGCTTACATTCTAATGGGGGAAGACAGACCATAAGTGAATCTTGCCAATGAGTAATATTTGCAGGACAGAAAAACACACATGGAAGGTGATTGAGTGATTACTTCCTAGGTCTGTATGAGGAAGTGACGTTGCAACTGATTTCTGAAGATCAGAAAAGAAAAGCCAGCCACAGATTAGGGTAGAAGTATTCCTGATAGTGGGAACAGCAAATACAAATGCTTCTCCCCAGAGGGAGGTGATCTAAAGGAACTTTCTAGGATGAAAACAATCTTGTCTTGTGATAGCACTCATCAAAGCCAATAGAACCTAGTGATGTGTGTACTTTAGCATTTTGTTGTGTGTGAATTATGCTTCAATAAAAAATATTTTAAAGTCATAAAAAATGCTTCTCCTGAGATGGGTAAAAACTCAATACTTCTGAGGAACAGAGCAATGTAGCCAAAGTATAGTTGATGAAGGGGAAAGAGGAAGGAGCTGATGGACGAAAAGAAAGCAAGGGTAGGGCTGGGAAGGTGGCTCAGTGGTAGAGCGCTTGCCTTGCATGCCTGAGGCCCTGGGTTCGATTCCTGAGCACCACATAAGCAAAAAGAAAAAAAAAGCCGGAAGTGGAGCTGTGGCTCAAGTGGTAGAGCACTAGCCTTAAGCTGAAGAGCTGAGGGACAGTGCCCAGGCCCAGAGTTCAGGCACCATGACCTGACCAAAAAAAAAAAAAAAAAAAAAGAAAGCAAGGGTAGATCATGAGGGACTTTCTATGCAGTGAAGGGAATTTAGACTTGTTTACGAGTTTAACAATAGAAGCCTGTGGAGAACAGTGGCCTGGTCTGACTTAATCTTTAAATCTTCTCTCTGCTATTACCTCATCTCACCTCTAGGACCCCAGTTTCCTGGTTTCGAGATGGGGACTCTGGGATGCTACAGGGACCAGACGCTGGGTTAGGGAATGAGCTGGTCCTGGTTGGGGCAGACAGCAGTGATGAGGGCACTTACATCTGTCGGACACTGGATGGTGCCCTTGAGGGCATGGTGAACCTGAAGCTGGGCTGTGAGTTGGGGAGGATGGTGGTGGTGAGTCATGTAATCCCTAAGGCAATCTAGAGCCCAAGGAAACCCTCTGGGATAGGGAGGAGGGGAGGACTGCATCTCTAGCTGCATCCTCTGCCTTTAGACCCACCAGCCCGTCCTGTGGTCTCCTGCCAAGCAGCCGCCTATGAGAACTTCTCCTGTACTTGGAGATCCAGCCAGGTCAGCGGTTTACCCACCCGCTACTTCACTTCTTACAGGTGTGTGTGTATGTGTGTGTGTGTGTGTGTGTGTGTCTAAGCAATTGAGTGTGCTGGCATAATATGGGGATGGGAGGCAGGGAGAGAGGCTCTAAGGAAAGCCTCAAAGAGGGCAGAAGGCCCTCTTTTCTTTCCTGACCTCAGATGGCCCCTCCCAACCAGGAAGAAGAATGCACCAGAAGCTGCTAATAGTCAGAGGTAGGATACGAAGGAGTGTCTGGGGGCTCCCACAGTGTCCCACAATGGGTATTTCCAAGCCTAAGACCATATTCTCCCTCCTAGTGAGGGTTCATCCACAGGGCCCTGGCCATGTCCACAGGAACCCCCAGGGGCTACCCGCTGTGTGGTTCATGGGGCCGAATTCTGGAGCAAGTATCGGATTAATGTGACTGAGGTGAATCCGCTGGGTGCCAGTACACGCCTGCTGGATGTGAGCTTGCAAAACATCTGTGAGTACCCACCCTAGACTTCTACCCAGACCCCTATCAGAAACCCCAGAGGGACTCCACTTCACACACACAGATGCAATCAAAGAGATGGTCTCTGTTAACCTCTGCACACACTCTAGCCTGCTGCTACAGGTCCTTCCTTCTCTCAGCTTCCCTGGAGGCTGCCTAGCCTCAGCACTGACTCCTGCTTCTAGGCCCTGTGCAGAAGATAGCCAGATCTCATGGCCTCCTAGCCAAGGGAAGCCCCCGATGAGTCCTCCTCCTTGATCTATGTGTGTGTGTGCATGCATGTATGTGATGGGGAGGCGGGCAGTAAAACTGGTTGAAATTTGGGCCAAATCATCTTTTTTTGGATAGCAAATTTCCTTTTTTACTTATGCAACAAAATTTTTCCCTCACCCCCAAGACTGGTAGCTTATTTTAAAATAAAGATATGATGATAGACAGGTCCTATGGCTAACTAATGACCAAGTTTCAGATTTTCCCACTCCTCCTGGAAGTACTTGGATAAGATGCTTTTTTTTGGGGGGGGGCCCAGTCATGGGGCTTGTACTCTGGGCCTGGGCGCCGTCCCTCAGCTCTTCAGCTCAAGGCTAGCACTCTACCACTTGAGCCACAGCACCACCACTTGAGCCACAGTGCCACTTCCGGCTTTTTTTCCTTTTGCTTATGTGGTGCTGAGGAATCGAACCCAGGGCCTCAGGCATGCAAGGCAAGCGCTCTACCACTGAGCCAACTTCCCAGCCCGGCTAAGATGCTTTTAAGCACACATCTTAGGAAGCGGTAAAGGGATGAGTACCTGTTTCCTCCTTTGACTTTGTGTCTGGCCGCCCTTAGTGCGTCCTGACCCACCCCAGGGGCTCCAGGTAGAGTCAGTACCTGGCTACCCCCGACGCCTTCGTGCCAGTTGGACATACCCTGCCTCCTGGCCTCGCCAGCCTCACTTCCTGCTTAAGTTCCGGCTGCAGTACCGTCCAGCACAGCACCCAGTCTGGTCCATGGTAAGGCCTAGAGTGTTTCTTAAGCTTGGGCTGTGGGTTTTGTCTCTGATTTCATGATCCTGAATGTTTTTAGTTTCTGGGCATTCATTAACAGCTCTGATACCCCCTGGGCCAGGCATCCAGCTGGATAGTAGTGAACTCCCACTGCTATCTCAATCCCCAAGAGTGGCTACCATCTGGTCTGGGGAATCAGCCTCACTTGCCACTGATTTTTACTTTGGTACTCTGTGTCTTGTATATACCTTTCTCTGATTTGGGAAAGAGAAGGGGAATAAAACGGTGAGACAAAAAGGACAGAGGGTGAACCAATGCAGCAGTGATAGTCACAAGACACTATGTTGGAAATGAATTTTACAACTGTTGGTGGGAGGAAGCCAGAGGGCAGGGAAAGTGGGAGAAAAATGAAAGACAATATTCAACAATGTTGAATGTTGAATGAGGAACAATGTTGAACAAGAAATGTAACTCATTACCTAACTTATGTAACCCCTCTGTACATCACCTTTACAATAAATAAAATAAAATAAATCATATTTAATGAAACTAAGTTATAGAGAGACCAAAAGTTCACCTAAACAGATTGAAGCCACAGACAGCCCCTCTAAGTGGTCACTATCCAATACAGTATTCCAAACCTTAGGTATAGACTCTACGCCATCAGCCACCACAGTAGTTAGAGGCCTACACCCTCCACTGGCTGCCAGGGATGGCACTGGGAGGACAGGGTAACATTTGTCTAGGCTCCCTGCTGACAGCCTAGGGCCTAAGATAATGCCCTAAGGAAGTATCTTAACCCCCAGGTGGAGCCCACTGGCTTGGAGGAGGTGATCACAGATGCTGTGGCTGGGCTGTCTCACACTGTGCGTGTCAGTGCCCGGGACTTTCTGGATGCTGGTACCTGGAGCGCCTGGAGTCCAGAGGTCTGGGGAACTCCAAGCACTGGTGAGAAAGAAAGCCAAAGAAAAGGGAAGAACCCCCATCTCCAGAGCATCTATTGGCTAATTAACGTCCCTGAAGGTGGCAAGGTGGTACATCCTCCCCTTGTCCCTCAGTCACAGCCAGGCAGAAGTAATGGCTGCCCTAGACTACCATCACCCTGTCTTAAGCTTTCTCTACCAACCCTTTCATCCTTGCAGTTATTGGCTATACTTCTAAAAGCCACACCCTAGAAGCTGGTCAGCCTCTGCCTTGTAGGCCTCTATGCCCAGCCCTGGCCATGCTGATGTGGATACTTCTCATGTTTCACACACCCTCAGGTCCTCTGACAAAGATACCTGTTGAGGACCAGCTACCTATGCAACCACGAGAGACAGAAGATCAGGTGGACAGCCCTGCTCCTCCAAGGCCTTCCGTGCAGCCAGACCCACAACCATTTGGTGAGCTTAGGCAGAGAAGTAAAGGCCACAGAGAATGAAGAGAAGAGCTGAGAGAAGGGGGCACTGAGCTTCAGTATGCTTGTTCTGATAACACTATGTGATGCCCCTCTTCAGATCACAGAGATCCATTGGAGCAAGTGGCTGTGTTAGCATCTTTAGGAATTTTCTCTTTCTTGGGACTGGCTGCTGGGGCCTTAGCACTGGGACTCTGGTAAGTTACTGAGGTCCTTCAGCCTCAGACCCCTACAGAAGTTTGTTTGTTTTTTTTTTTTTGGTCGGTTGTCGGGCTTGAACTCTGGGCTTGGGCACAGCTCTTCAGCTCAAGGTGAGCGCTCTACTGCTGGAGCCACAGCACCACTTCTGGTTTTTGAGTGGTTTATTGGAGATAAGAGTCTCATGGTGGGCTGGGAAGGTAGCTCAGCGGTAGAGTGCATGCCTTGCAAGCATGAGGCCCTGGGTTCGATTCCTTAGCACCACATAAACAGAAAAAGCCTGTGGATCAAGTGGTAGAGCGCTAGCCTTGAGCTGAAGAGCTGAGGGACAGCGCCCAGACCCAGAGTTCAGGCCCCATGACCGGCAAAAAAAAAAAAAGAGTCTCATGGACTTTCCTGCTCGGGCTGGCTTTGAACCTCGATCTTCAGATCTCAGCCTCCTGAGTAGCTATGATTACAGGCATGAGCCACCAACACCTGGCCCTACAGAAGTTTTTTTTTTTTTGGTCCGGTCGTGGGGCCTGAACTCTAGGCCTGGGTGCTGTCCCTCAGCTCTTCAGCTTAAGGTTAGCGCTCTATCACTTGAGCCACAGCACCACTTCCGGCTTTTTTCTTTTTGCTTATGTGGTGCTGAGGAATCGAACCCAGGGCCTCATGCATGCAAGGCAAGGGCTCTACCACTGAGCCACCTTCCCAGCCCTCCTCCCTCATTCTTAATGTATGTGTGCCCAGAGTTATGTCTGTCCCTTCATATTTAGGGTGTTGGGGCTCGCTCAGAGTTGGGCTCATCTATTCCATCTCAGTGTTGGCTCAGAATGGGTTTCCCCACCCCCTTGCTTTCATTCTTAGGATGTTTGGGCCAAGACCCAGTCTTACTGTGTCTCTTAATTTTCTTCCTGCTCTTCTAGGTGCTTCAAATCTATAGAGGACCCAGGAGAACTTCATCTAATTCTACCTGTAACTCGTCTTGCTGACGTGTCTAGATGGACAGGAGAATCAACCACGGCAGGAGAACTCTATAGATGGGATTCTCAGCTGGAAGAGCCCCTTTCTTTGCAATCTTGTATTCTATACCTGCCAGCTGAAAGGTGTCTGGATCTCTGATGTCATCTCAGAGCTAGAGGTCCACCTGAGGAATGTATGTAGATGTTTATGTCTGTGTCCATATGTGCCCAAGTGTGTGAGGCAGAGAACGTATGTTCTCTGCATGTTGTATGTATGTAGGTACCTGGAGAATATGTATAGGTCTCTGATTCTTGACCTTGGCTCTTGGGGGTGGGGGAACTGTAAAGATTCAAATTTTTAAAAAAGGGAGTTTTTAAAGGTCACACTTGGATTATTGTCCAATACTTCTTTATTATTTTGGCATTTGGGGGCTCCAATCCATTTTCCTTTTCAGTGTCAGATTCAAGTTGGGTAGGTTTCCTTGGAGCCTTTTCCCTTGGCGCACAAACCACCGAGCTAGGCTGCGGTTTTGGGGATGGATGCAAACACTGCGTCGAGCCAGGTGAAGTCTAGGAATGGAAAGGTCCAAAGCTATGCCCATAGAATGGGCATGAGGTTGTCCCAGGATTGGGGCATGGGGCATATGAAAACCTCAGAAGGCTCATGGGGCTGGCATTGGGATAAACATCAGGGGTTGGGACTGAGGCCAGAGGCAGGGCTATCAAGAGTGGGGACAGAGCTCACACAACAGCCTGGAGGTGACAGTCCCCATCAGCCTCCTGCAGTTCCACATGGATGACCTTCCTCAGTAGCTTGTTTGAGAGTGGCTGTCTGTAGAGCTGAGTACAGCATGTAGTGCTGGGTGACAGTGGCAGCGCTAGAAACAAGAGAGCCATATGTTCAGAAGGGTCTAGAACCAGAACTGCGCTATCACACAGCTGGAGGTTGGACTTCCTGGGCCCCTTACCCTCTTACTCAGCCCACTCACACAGCCTTCTATACCCCCATCCTCAAGACTTACCTGTTCCAGGGTCTGGGCTCAGGAACAATAGCAGCAAGAGGCCACTGGTGGTTAAGAATCCCTTCATGCTGCTCAGCCTAGACACTGCTCTCTCCTTCTCTCCCCCTACCTTTTATCTGGGCACATTTGACCTGGGGCACCAGGTGAGTCAGACACAGGTGCAGATGTATTGCTTATCTTATGATGTTACTGAGCTCTAATTCTTGAACTGTTGCCACAGATTCTTTCCACTTCTAGGACAACCATTTTTTCCTGGGCTTTTAAGCCCAGATAAGAGAAACAGTGCCAAGCAGTAGTACATATATGGGGGCTGATAGTACAATAATTAATGCCAGATAAGGATCCACAGTAGCATCTAATAATAGACCTTCATAGTTACATTCCCATAGCCACACATTCACAGTCACACCTCAGTCATTCAATTTCAAGGTCACACCCATGACTGGACAATCAGACAAAATCATAAAGCCCCAGTTTACACGATGTCTGTTTTGTTTTATAATCAGCCACTAAAACACAACTTTTTTTTTTTTTTTTTTTGCGCCAGTCTTGGGGACTGAACTCTGGGCCTGGATACTTCCTGAGCTTCTTTTTGCTTAAGGCTAGTGTTCTACCACTTGAGCCACAGTACTACTTCTGGCTTTTTCTGTGTATGTGGTACTGAGGAATCAAACCTAGGGCTTTATGCATGCAAGGCAAACACTCTACCACTAAGCCACATTCCCAGCCCTAACATACAACATTCTAATGGAGTTGTGGGTGGAGTGGAAACATAAGTCAGTACTAACTTGCCTTTATCACAACCCACCTCTTGCTGTGGCCTGCCTGTCCTACTAGGAGACACTGATGGGAATGAGTCCCTAAAGCGACCTTTCTGGCTGAGGTGAGGGCTACTTTCTCCAGGAAGGTAAGGAGGAAAGGTAAGGTGGAAGAGAAGATAAAAATGGTGCCAGACTGCTGATGTCAAAACAGATGAAAGGCCTAAGAAATCTTACCTTCTTGTGTTTGCCAAGTTCTATTTCAGAAATGCCAGTTTGTGGATTTGGGGTTTCTAGACTGTCTCTCTCTCTTATTGGTGTGGGCATTTGAACTCAAGATCTAGCACTTGCCAAGCAGGTACCCTATAACTTAAGCCATGCCAAAAGCCTGATATCTTAGGGAAAAAAAATTCTACTCAAATTCCAGTCTCTTTCCATACTGGACCTGGAGGAACATCTCCCCCCCCCCTCTGCATTCAGCAGTATTTTTTCCATTTATCCCATCTTTCTGCTCTAGCCCTGAACATATCCTTCCTATTTTCTCCTAATCCTGTATGTTGACCTCCCTGTCCTTTTTGCCCTGTTCCTCAAGGCAAAACTTCTTGCCCTGATCAGTCCTTTCTGAGAAGCTGGAAACTGCCTAGGTAAGGCATGCTGTTAGGTTAAGTGGTCTATGTTCCTGATTTGGAGAATTTTAATCAAGTCCCTCCCAGTAATTGAAATATATAAACTGAGTATATACCCAACTATAAACTCAATTATCTCCAGAGTGACTGCCCTCATGCTTGATGTGAAATAGCAAACGATCAAGAGCAAATCCTGCCTGACTAGCTTCCATACTCTTTCCCCTAGTAATGTCACTTAGTATATCTGTTTACATTAAAAACCCTAATAAAAGTCTTTTCCATTCACAAAAAATAAATAAACTCAATTATCCAGCTCTCATCTGGATATTGCAGGGCTATCTTTTCCAGTTTTCTTTTCTGGGGACAGTCACCATTTAGATAGCCCTTTTCTGTTACGGCGCTCCTCCAACTTTCCAGATAAGGGAGGAGTCCTCCTCTAGCTGAAAACCTGAGCCTCTCCTCTAATCCAGAGTGAAACTTGAAGTCCCCCCTCCCTGGAGTTTGTCTCAGAGGTCTTCTGACAGAATCCTGGTAAACTGTGGGACCAGGATTGAATACAGCATTCTACCTTTGAAGGGGTCTTTGATGTTATACATTGTATGGGAATGGCTTAAAGATTTGAGCACTTTCTTTGTGTGATTCCATTTATTTAAAATTCAAAAACAGTTGCCTAGTATGTGCAAGGCCATCGGTTTGATCTCCTCAGGTGCTTTCTTGAAAGCCATCACAATCCAAAGGCCACTCATGTTGAATTTTTGGTACCCAGAGGTCTTGAGTTCCTTCTCCCACTGCCAGTTTGGGCTTCTGCTTGAGTGTTTTCAAAGAAATCCCAAGGAATTTTCCCATGTTCCATTCATGTCATAGGTCTCTGTCAGCTGGTAGATCACCATTGACTTTGTGAGCTTTCCAGGACTTGGCAGTTGAGAACAACAGTTTTGGAAGGCAGAAAACAAACTGTCCTGGTGTGTGCTGATTTCTCCAAAAATAAGACCAAGTCTTCTTTTCCAGTCACAATTTGCTGTAGCAGGTGCAGCTTAAGGTGAAACCCAGTTTTGGCCTTAGCCAGGAATGAGTTATTTCTGTAATTTAATTCTCCAGTACCCTTTCTGGTGCTGGATCTGGTTTATAACTGAAAGCAGGCCCATAAAGCAGTTCTAGTCTCTCACCACTTTAGGAGTTAGGGTCTCAGACTGGTTGGGTGGTGAGAAAAAAAGGGATGGCAGGGAGTAATGATGCTTGGACTTTCATAGGGAAGTAGCAAGAACTGCTAGGTAGGCTGATGCCACTGTCTCAAAACCTGGAATCAGGTGGGGATATTAACTGTAGGAAACATCTCCACCCTTCATCATTCTCCTGACACAGGCTACTGGCTGGGCTCAGCTTTTAGGAATTTCCTCCTCTCACTGACTATGTTCTACAACCCTGGCTTAAAATGTTTTAGATCCACTCTCAGGAAGAGAAGATTCTTCAAACATTGGGCGAAGTTCTGGCCAGGAGGAAGATGGTAACAGATAGCTGGGATTGTGGGAACAAACATACCAGTATGGGGATAAAGAGGAGAGGTAGATCAGGCCAAGATTACTTAGTTCTTACCATATAGGCTATTACCAGTGATGGATATTTTTTTAGGGATGTGGCGGAGAAGCAGTCACTGACAGTAACAAGAAGCCTGACACTGATGAGGAGCCCTTAGTCTTAATTGGGGCCTTGGCTAAAAGGGAGAGAAGCCAGGTTGGGAAGGAAACAGCGGATACGGAGAGAGGGGGTTCCCAGCTCGAATGGAGGCCGCGGCGGCGGAGTCAGGAAGGCAGTTTGGTAGGTAGGCTTCGCTTTAAATCTTTAATGCACCGGCTGGCTGGGCAGCGGTGGTGGGGGTGCGGCAGAGGAGGCCGCGGCCTGAGCGCTGGGGAGCAGGGCCCAGGCCGCTCGACAGACAGCTCATCAGGCCCCGAAGAGGTTCCAGCTTCTGTTGTCGGGGGTGCGCCGAGCTGTGGGGCGACCGGAAAACTGCGTGAGCCGGTGCGGGGAGTCCTTGGGTCCCCCGCCCACCCCTCGGATCTAAGTCTCGTCCAAGGCAGGCCCGCGCGATCGTAGCCCCCTCACCTCCGCTCTCGGCGCCACATTCGCAGCCAGGGGAAAAAGTAGAAGCAGCCCCAGTAGATCCTGAGGAGAGAAGGCAGAGCCGGGCCGGGCGCCGGGAGGGGCGGGGATGACCCCGGGAGGGGCGGGGATGACCCCGGGAGGGGCGGGGATGACCCCACAGACCCCGCCCCCCGGACCTGGCTCGCCCACGAGAAAGGCCCCGCCCTCTCGAAGGCGGGCCTCTCTCACCCCCGCCCTCCGGGACGCCGCCCCGCCCTCCCGGCCCGAGAGCGCGCACCCTCCTCCCCTCCCCCGCCCCCGGAGCCGCCGGGCCCCTCCTCCGCGCCTCCGCCTCCACTCACTCCTCCTCCGCCTCCAGCGCCACCTCGTATCTCCTCAATCCCGACATGTCCGGGTTCCGAACGTCTCCTGGGGAGTAGCACGACTGGATTAAGTATATGGCCCCAGCCCCCAGTCTCGTTCCCCGTCACTGTCAGGACGGGGCTCAGTAGGTCTCAGGCAATCTGAGCCAGGGGCCCCTCCGGAAGCCAGCTGCCACATCGGGATAGAGCGGGACGAAGGGTTTGGGAAGACTAGATTTAAAGCGTTGGGGGAAAGGTTATCTCGGGGGCCTGGGACGTGTTGGAGGTCAAGCCAGGAGACGTGGCGGCCGTGGGGCTGGGAAATCTGGGGTTCCGGGGGAGGATCTCCAGGAGCTGGGATCACCTGGAGGGGGGCTGAGGGGTCGGCGCAGCCTAAACTCCCGCCCTCCCTGGCTCCACCCCGGAAACGGATTGTTGTCATTACGTCACAGGGATACCTTCGCACTCTAGGGGTGGGGCTTACCTATAACCCGGAAGGGGCGGAGCCAGACATTCTCCCCCGGGGAGGCGGAGTTAAAGCGTCAGGCTCTGATGTGGAATCAGACCTTGTCACTGAGGGGAAGGAGGAGTCATGGGGTGCTAAGGGAAGGGGGGAAGGGGTTAATAGTATATTGTTTTACAGGGATAAAATGAGGTTTTGGGGATACTCCCTTGCAGGCTGAGGCCTCAGCCACAGGCAGCAATATAAGTGCTTTGCAACACTCCAGTACTGTTTTCCCACCCCCATAACTCTTGCCAGGTATCTGCCCTGCCAATTGCCTTTCTTAACTTGCCCTGCTCCCTTTGCATGACTCTGGGTTGAGAAGGAATGGGCCCTTAAAGAGAACCCAGTCTAGAAAGGCTTGGCTATAGAAATTCTTCTTGTGTGGCCTTGGCCAAGTCGCCTAATAGCTGAAAGACTGATATTCCTGTAATTTTTATTTTTTATAATCAACCAATAACTACTGAGTACAACATGCCAACTACTGTGCTAAACTTGAGGATATAATAGTAAAGAAGACTCCACTTTCAGAGAGCCTATCCTATCTCCCATACATAGGAGAGAGAAGAAAGGACAGATTATTACAGTAAATGAAGGAGATTGGCAGGGGAACGTAGAGGGTACTGCTCCAGAGCCAAAAAGAAAAGGGACCATTAACCAAGTCCAGGGTGTTGAAATAACTGTCCCAGCCAAGGCCCAAAATGCTCAGCTAAAATTGGTGTGGAGAGAAGGGTGGGAAGAGAGCCTGAACTGATAATATGAATGAGAGGGATCAGAAATAAGTGAAATGAGTCTGGGGGTGGCTCAGGTCTGTAATCCTCAGGAAGCTGATATCTGAGGATGGCGGTTTGAAACCAGCCCAGGCAGGAAAGTCCAAGAGCCCCTTATCTCCAGTTAACCACCAAAAGCCACAAGTAGTGCAAGTGGTAGAGTGCTAGCCTTGAGTGGAAAAGCTGAGGGATACTGCTCAGACCCTGAGTTCAAGCCCCAGTACCAATGCATGCACATGTATGTGTGCACGCGCGTGTGCGCACACAAACACACAAAGTGGGAGAAATGAATAGCCTACTTGGTCCCTCATTCAACCCTCCTCTTATATTTGTCTTCCCCAGCCTTAGCTACAGACAGCAGACAGACAGATAGACAGATATGTGAGTGACAGGTGGCTTAGTTGGAAGCACTGTAGTCTGGATATGAGGAGTCTGTGCTGTTGCCACACTTGCCTTCATT